GCTGCTTATCGCAGAGTCCTTCAGTTCCAAGACGCTCACGAGACTCCTTTGCTGCATTTAGGCATTCATTTGGTCATTTATTGAGCAAATATTTACCAAGCATCTATCACGTGCCAGGCACCTAGGCTCTATGTGGGGCATAGGGATGCCCCTGTGTGTACAAGGCCTCTGCCCTCCGGAGCTTACATTTTAGGGCGAGTAAGGATATAACCCTGGATCCACAGTCACCTCAGTCACCTGCTCAGTGGCTAGGTGGAGGAGAGGCAAACTTGGAGGTGGGCTGGGTCTTGATCTGCCATAGCTGAACCCTGGCCCCTCAGGTGTTACCTGGAGGAATGGGTACTTCACCATGACTGTACCCCACCTCCACCAGCAGAAACAGGTTTTGAATAAAGGGCTGAGTAATCATATTCCCTCTCTTTCTCTCTCTTTTACACGCACACACACACATACACATACACAAGCACACCCAGACCAAAAGCACAAGAAGTGGGAGGGGTAAGAGGGCTATAAGAAATCTAAAAATGCAGGGAGGACAGCACTGTCAGTAGCTCCAGCCACCATCTGGGTGGGGTCACATCCCCTTCCCTTCTCCAAATTTTCCTCAGATCAGACCAATTGGTTAACATTAGGATAGAATTCAAATTAATTTCTCCCCTGGCACTTTTAAAGAGCCTTCTAAATATTGTCTAAACCCCTTCCCTATTTCACAGTGGGAAACAGAGGCCTCAAGGTCACCCAGAGAATGAACAGCCAAGCTGAGATTTGAATGCAAGGCTCTTCCCAGTGCTGTGACATGTCTCTCAGTCTTCAGTGGAATTTAGAACAGGGAGTAAACTAGGAGCTGGGCTGTAGCCAGGAGGCCCCTCCCCCAAAACCAGGCCAGGCCAAGCCAGGTGTTTCGCAGCTGAGCTGCAAAAACTGGGTCATTGGTCATTTACTTGATCTCTGCCCTAGGGTCCCCAGACTGGAATCTGAAGAGGCCACTAGGTAGGGGTCAGGGAGCAGAGTACTGAGAAACAGGGGTTTTCCCTGTCTCACTGGCTGTTCATGGTACAGGAGGGGGTGAGGGCAGGAATAGAGATCTGCTTTTCTACTCTCTCAGCTGTTTTTGTTTGAGTGACTGGATTTTGGGGGCATTTCCATTTTCCCAAGAACACCAGTCCTTCAATGTCACTCCCTGGATCATGACAACTAACTGCTGACTCCCTTCAGGAACATCTCCATGGCTCTTTTCTCCCTGCATGTCCCCAAGGTCACTTTTTAGGGGTTGAGATGGGGCCAGCCCTCTCCTTCCCAGATCCCAGAGGTGTGATCTCTGCTATGATATCTGGGAAAGATATCTGTGACCCCCAGCCCCTTACTCCCCTACCTGGAGTCACTCAAGGCCATAAAACACTTTTTTTAAAAAACATTATGTGCTAGAGAAGCTTTCTGATGGACCAGATAGGGGAGCTGTAGGCCTAGATAGTTTCAAAAGGCACTGCTTGGAATAGAGGGCAGAGACCAGCTAGTCCCTACTGCTCAGGGTTCTTAGAAAATGGTCAATTCAGGAGTGACACAGAAGCCAGAGTCAACAGAAAAATACGTTCCCTCTATTCTACATTCTCCTCTAGATAATCCCTGATCTTTCCTTTGTTCACTAAGTTTCTCAAAAAAATAGTCCATCATCCTAGCCTCTACTCTTAGCTGCCCAATGTATCATAACATGTCTTTTGACCTGTTTTAATCAGGGTAAGTAGTCTTAGCTGCTGTAATAAAGAACCCTTAAAAATCAGTGGCTTAGCACCATAGTCCATTGAGGAGGGGAGGAAGAGCTCTGTTCCCTGCAGCATTCAGGGACCAGGCTCCATCCATCTAGTGGCTCTGCCATTCCCTAGGGCTTCAGAATTCCTCACTAGATCCCCCTGTAACATTGGTAATAAATGAAAGAAGAAAGAAAATGTAAAGAATTTCACAGGAGGTTTTAGGAGCCAGACCTGGAAGTGGCATACATCATTTCTGCCTACATTTCATTGGATGGATCACTATCACATAGCCCCATCTAACTACAGAGTATACTGTGGAATGTAATCTGGCTGTCCAACAGCAAAAGGAACTGAACTTGGGCCGGCCCGGTGGCGCACTGCTACAGTGCGCCGCTTGAGAGTGCGGCAGTGCTCCCGCCGAGGGTTCGGATCCCACATACAGACCTGCCGCTCACTGGCTGAG